ATGCAAAGAAAATGATCTACTGTGTAAATCCACATTTGCATTCAGTGACCCAGCAAAGAATGCTTTCCCCAAATTTCTGTTTTTTTATCACATAGACACAGATAAGAATATTGTGAACCTAAAACTTGAAAACAATAAATGCTCATCAAAATTGACGATGAAGTTTAAGAATGACAAGCGGACGTTACTAAGAAATAAAATACATCCAAACTGTACAGAGCTGCGGACCTGTAAGCCGCTGCCTATCATGCGATTAACGGCATTGTTGCCACCACCGCCAACTCCGACGACCTTGATCTTGGCGGAGTCCATGGGAACGAACGAGTTACGAACGGAGAAACGTAGTTGTTTGGAAAGGCACTTTCTTCCAGGCGCGAGACAGGGAGAAATGCACCGTCTAGGGATGAACGAAGAAGACGTAGCCCTGCTCTTACAAAACCCTAGCGAAGTTGAAGAGGAAGACGACGCAGCATACTCTGAAAGGCCTGAGAATCCTAACATCGCCATTCTCGAAATACTCCGAGTTTTTTTGAAGGAAATACTCTGAGTTAAGATGTTATGTTTTGAATTTCAGGAAGAGTTGTGTCTTGCATTCTTCAGTTTTAATTAATTTATCCTTTTACTCTGTTTTTGCGTTCATCATCATCCTAATAAACATTTATTAGAAATGCTAGATCATTAGAAATGCTAGGGATAAACAAGATCTATACAAAATGTAGGTCACAGACAATTGGTGCGGAGTTGTCTGTGTCGACAGACATTTACTTTCGTGTATAAAGTGTACTGACAGGCGTCTGACACTGACACCGGTTTGCAAATCAATCAATATATGTGTAGTGCATGTCAGCATGTGTGCATATACAATATTTTCATGTTGCACATACATATTTTTACACGGACAATAGTTGTGCGGCTCACAGACAACGTGTGATCTACTTTAGTTATTGGTATGATCAATTTCAATTGTCTAGGTAAACACAAAATTTAATTGTCTATATACATTCAAATGAATGATGTAGTTGTATGTGTAATTAATTTACATGTAATTTGAAAAAAATAGAAAAACAACAAAAATAGATGAAATAAGATGAATATGCCTATTTTGTGCAAATAATGAAAAAAATTGATATAAAAAGGTAAAGAAAAGAGGGTGAAGATATGATCATCCCATTTTTTTTTGAGAATTTTAGAAGAGATCGGTTAAAGAGAACAGAGAGAGAGGGGGAAGAGAGAAGGGTGAGAGAACCGAGAGAGAAGTGGGAGGGGGAAATGAGATTTTTTTTGCTTTTATACCATGTACAACTTGTGTACAATGTACATGGTGTGTACACTAAGCATTTTTTGTTTATTTATTGTCAAATGTAATATTCCTTGCATTCCTTAAAATTTTATCAAGGTTGACAAAATAAATCTCTGTGGTTAGATTTGTATGGAAGAAAGAGAATTATCTGGAACCACAAATTCTCATTTAAAAGAGAAATTGCAAAACTAATGAAACAAACAAAAAAGAAAAAAATTTAACGGAGAGAGTACTCGATAGGGAGGAAGTAGTTTATTTAGTACGCAATATATATATATACATATATATATATATGATGGATAGTGTACCCGGGGGTAGCTTATCCGAAGGGTTATTGCAGGGAATAACCTAGAGAGAAGTCAGAGCAAGCAAGTAAGAGAGAGAGCCAAGTATATTAAATGAACTTGTTCTGGGATCCCTTGCAAGAGGAATAAGGGCTGCTATTTATAGCAGCCATAAATGCGATGAGAGTACATGTGTCAACAATCTAATGGCCGAGGGGTCACCTCAATCGGGGTGGCACCGGCACTTGCATGTGCGTCGCATTAAATGCGGTGATTGGACGTGACGCCACATTAAATGTGGTGGTTGCTTGTCTCCAAAAGGAATCTTCGATGATTGAGCCCGCAGCCGAAGGCTCCCTTGTGGCTGAAGGCCCTATGTAGCCTAAGGCCTTGTGTAGCCGAGGGCACGGGGTGCCGAAGGCTCCTGATTTCTGTCATTTTCTCCCAGTAGCTTCGTATGCTCAAATCTGGCTGTCCTGTGAGTTTTGGAGCCCTCGGCCATAGGGCCGAAGACATCCGTATGTGTACCGTGGGCTTCTTGACACTTGGGCCGCTGTGTTTGGGCTTCGTGTGCTCATTGGACTTGATGGGCCTGTGTAAGAGAAGTAGGAGTCTATGGTCCCTGGGGTCCCTGGGTCATATATATATATATATATATATATATATATATATATATATATATATATATATATATATATATATATATATATTGTAGAGTGAATTAGTGCACCAAGGGTGTTTTGTGTTAAGGTGGAAATGTAGTGATTAAATGTGTAAAAGTTTTCTGTACAAGTACTGAGCGTGGATGTGTTTAATGTATACAGGTGTGGAGGAAACAACATCAGTGATTGCAAAACGGGAGAAAACACAAACAATACGAAATGGTTTACTAATTGGGTGTAAAATAATCAATTACAGGTGTCAGCATTTGTGGAGTACTTGAAAGCAAAAGGAATGGAGAAGAGAGTAGCATTGTTAGCCAAGATAAAACCAAGCTGAATGCAAATGTCTTGGAGAGATAAGAGTAACGTTATCGATTATGGTGTGTTCGCAATGCGTCATATGGAGACTTATAAAGGCGAATGACTGATGGGGTGGGATTGTAGCCTTAGACATGAAGACCCGAAGCAGTTATTAGGACTAAGGGTTAAATACACAACATCTGTGTTACTAGAGGAGATAAATGAGAAGAAGATGGAGAATTTATTCAAGGCAAAAGAGTATGCGAAGTCGAAGTTAAAGAAGCGATTTATTCATTTTCAAAATAATGAATGTTTTGTTTGGTTTTTGGTGTGTTGAAACACTTATTCTGTTGGTTTTTATGACTATTATGGAACATGTCAAGGCATACTAATATGGTGTGTTCGCAATGTTCTGTTTGGATTAATTTGAAGTATGGACAATGTGCATTGTATTAGGTGAATGGATATGATTTTAGGAGTAATGTATAAGTGCATATTAGGAGTGTAAAAGTGAATATCTGCCTAATTTCAGTGAATGAATAATATACACACTCATAATGCAGGATCGTACACGTTAATGGTGCGTTAATACAGTTTTGGAAACTACAAAACACGAATAAGTTTAAATGGTGTAGATAGTTTATGCTAATATACTTTATTAAAGTGGCTTTCGCAATAGGAGAATACATATCAAATAAAAGTGCATAATACGTTAGTAAAAGTGAACCTCTGAAAGTTTAAAATGATTTAATGAATGTGCACTAGTAATTCATGATCGTCCACGTTTTTGGTGCGTGAATCCATTTTTTGAATTGGTGTGGTTGGTTTATGGTAATACAGGTAATTAAAGTAGCTTTTGCAATGGGAGAATGCATATGAGATAAAAGTGCATAATACATTTCGTAAAAGTGAACCTCTGAAAATTTAGAATGATGTGATATATGCACACTAGTAATTCATGATCATCCACGTTTTTGGTGCGTGTATGCATTTTATGAAAACCACGAGACTAATCATTGGAAATGATGATTACCTATGCTTTGGCTGAAGTATTTAGAAATGGTGACTGATATTAAACAATTCGGAATGAGATAAGAAAATGAGTGTGTTCGGTTAATAAAAAAACAAGTCATACTATATTTAAGTAATCCGTGGAATATCTCTACGCAAAGTATCTACTTGTATCTAAAATGGAGGTTGTATGTGCAATAGTTGTTGTGTAGTGGTAAAATGTTATTTCAATGGTCATTGCACGTGTAAATAGACAGGACAAACAATACATTTGTAGACAAAAACAACAATGACATATGAAATAACAATATTAAATTGTGGGGAAAATACATAAAACTGAATTCTAAAATTCATATACTTTATTTGGAATGATGGTTGATACAAAAAATGAAGTCCTAAGAAGTGCAAATTATAAACATTAAAATTTAGAACATGCAACTAGAAGATTCTTAAAGGGCATTATTCTTTGGACAATTTCAACTATCATGAAATGGCATTTAATTAATCACTACATTTCCAACTCTTTAGCACCTTTAATTCTCTTAACCAACCCTTTAGCACCATCCAACTCGCACGTCGGCTCTGAGCAACATCCAACTCTTTAGCACCTTTAATTCTCTTAACCAAACCCTTGTTGTGTGCTTGAGGGGGTTGAAGAACATTGACTGAAGTGGGTTGAAGAACATAAGTTTGCAAACCAAACTTAGTCGTAGAAAATATTTGCAGCTGCATGTCAAATTAGTGGCATCCAATTTACAATGAACAATATATTTCAAGCCACGTTCATCTGAGATCAAATAATCCAACAAATTAGTCGTAGAAAATAGCATGTTGCATGAATGAAAAGGTGAAGTGCTTATATCTGACGTGCAGTTTTGTTCCATTCAGCTAAACTCATAAACAAGACAAGGGAATAAAATTAAAATTATAAATAATGTCAAAGCAGTACACTAAAATAAGATACATACCGTTCTCCATCAAAGGATACGCAGTGAGATTTAGAATAACAGAGGATATAAATGATTAGGGATCTTGATTAGCAGTAGGTGGAAGTCTTGAACATCCATGGAATTGGGTACATAATGCATTCAAAACAAACAAAATATTAGCTACAGATAAAAAATAATAAAAAAAATGATGGTAGGTAATACCTGGGAGGAGCTTGGGCGTAGAACTAAACGTGTCGTAGTGAGAGAGAATAATTTTAAAGGAAGAAGAAGCACAGGCCGGCGGCAGACATGGAAATAAGCGGATGGAAGATGATGAAGGTAATACATCGCAGAGACATATAACGGAAAGTTATTTATCAAGATACAAATTAAATGCACTTGCCAAGTTGGAGCTTTGAAAAAACGGAAGTAAATAATCCCTTGGACAAAAATACCCCATCCACAGGTCTTGAGATCAGGTACATCGTTTTAATCGTATAAGGAATTCAAGGGATGAGATTAGTTCTCATTTTTCATGTTTTTTTTAAAATCAAATAACTAATTTATTATTAAGCAATAGCAAAAATACAAGAGAATGAATAGTCTGAGGCTACAATGGGATGAGACATAGAACGGAACAGATTCAATGAATCCTTCCAGATCGCTAACCCCACAATAATGTAGTCTAGTGTAACAGCCTTGCTGATCTTCTTGCTACTCCAAAGAGAAATTAAAAAATTACAACTAAAAGATTCGGCTTCACCAGCCACCGGAAAGGGAGAATTGGTTTGACCAGCAACCAACAAAGGGAAATCAGTCGAGTAGAAATTTCTTGAAGCATCGGTTTGACCAGCCACCGAAAAGGAGATTCGCTTGATCATCTTCTTCCTCCCACAGTGAGGCGGTGGTTCAGGTGGTGGGCGAGTATTTGAAACATCAGAACAACAAGGTTGAAAAAGCTTCACCAAATCGATAACACCGATTACAAATGCACAGGCTCTAGACATTGCTAGGAGAAATGGAGAATAACATACCACACGCTCACATGAAGCGGACAAAATTCTCGGCCAATGAAGAAGCCGGACCAAATTCCTTGAAAATAGAAATTGAAAAAGGGCGAAAGCATAGAAAAACCTTTGATCCGATCTTTCATTCCATAGAGAATGTCTTCATCTTCCAAAATCGGATCTTGAAAAGGGTTGGGGATGGCCGCCTAGGGCCGGCTCGTGAGACTCATTGCTTTATTTCTCATTTTTCATGTTAAGAGGTGTTTTTACATGATCCTATATATATAGAATAAAGATCAAATGAGAATATATATAGGGTGTGGATCAAATAAAAAGAGGTCTTAACATGTAAAATGTAAAATTTTCACTTTTACAACGGTGTGGTGCACTTTTTGGTTCAGTTATGCACTTTTTCACATTTTGTAAGAGATCTTTTTTATTTTACAAGTGAAAATTTTGCATTTTAACCACTTTTTATACATATACATTTTCATGCGTGATGTGTGTGATCTGTGTGACGAACAAAATTGGAGTACACAAATTGGATAAAATCTAACTAAAAAATACGTAGTAATCATAACGGGATTATAATGATATTCTTTTGAAGATAATGTAAAATTATAAGAACAAAGAGGAGCCATATTTTACTCTGAAAAGTGATATATTATGTGCTTCAAAAGTCCCTAGGAAATTAAAACCTTGTTTTGTATTGAGAAATTCATTTTTAGGATGTTTTTTACTTGGACTAAAATTTTTATAGTTTGATCAAATCCAATGTGGTCTACTATGGTCTAGACTGAACAAATCTGTTAAATGTTTGATCTCTGTGTATTTTACCATTACAAGTTTAATGAACAATTACATCAATCAATGTATGTGATTCTATAATTAATCATTTTATTAAATAATAATACATTACAGTAAATTATTTGGGATCTCAGAAAATAAAATACCAAGTATTTGGGGTTAATGAGAGCTTTTAAGGAGAATGAAATGGTGGCTTTATTGAAATCAAAGACAAAGCCGCAAGGGCTGTTTGAGGTAAAAAGGAAAGAACAGACACGATTAAAATAATCAATTTACAACGATGATGTCTTTCTTAAAATTAAAAATAATAACAATTCCCTTTCTTTCCCTCTCCAAAACACAGATATAACACAAATACACAATAATAAAAAGATGGATGCCCTAAAGTAGTTTTCTTCATTCTTCAAGCTCTCCAATCACAATAGTCTCATGCGGATGTTTCACTCCCCCTCACTTAAAACGGGAACAATGAGTGGATTCATCTGAGCAATATAAACAATTGCCCACCTGCCAAACATAAAACAAAATGATGACTTTCAATTGAAGCTTGAGAAGAACAAAGCCACAATATAAGCAGAAATCGACTATATTATATCAAATCATAATGGAAATGGATAAAAACTATGGGATTGTTCCTCAGTATTATATCGAGTCAAGAGAGTTCAGCTAAAAGTCGTGCTTACATCATCCAGCAGCAAACTGTTGCAGTCATAATCAGAGTCTGGTGTAACCTACACAAGAAAGCACCATTTTAGCCTCATGTAAGTTATAAGTCATATCAAACTAATGTCAGAGGGAGGAATGTTAACAAATGTTCAGTCATCACTTTTACTTCATTGCGTTGGAATTAAGGCTCAGCTGTTGTGGTTTTCGGGACGGTCCAAAAATCACACTTTCCTTTTCGGGACGGTCCAAAATAAACTTCACACTTCCTTATTTCCTTATTTGGCAAAGAAATCTACATCAAAACAGTGTTAAACAGTGCTAAACAGTGCCAAACAGTGTCTCAACAGTGTCAAACAGTGCCAAACAGTGTCTCAACAGTGTACTCTACAGTAAAGTCAACTTTATTTCCTTAATAACTGTGAAGTCAAACACTGAAGTTTAAAAAGAACCGGAGGGAGTATATGATTCAGAGAAATTTAGAGGAAAAAATTTACTTGGGGAAGAATTGTTACGACCTAAACTTCTAACAATTTATCCTGTTAGAACTATATGATTCAGAGAAATTTATCCTCTAACAAATGAAAAGTACAAACTATATTGGAGAAAAATTCAAACTTAATTAATGTACAGTGGATGAAAATTGGAATAACTTAAAGCAAAAACGATAAATGTTGCTTGACTAAATAAACAGTGATGAACAGATGGTAGATTATGTGCACAAAAAATGGTAGATTATGAGCCCTTAGATCTACATTTAGTGGATAGCTTAAATTCTAGACATCCAAACAAAAGTATACAAGAAATTGACACTAACATAATATGTCGTGCTCTACTATTATCTCAATACCAACCCCATATTTTTCCCTCTGCTGTTTTCATCCTTTTTAACGCTATAAACTACGCAAAGCCTCAGTCATCAAGTTTTGAAGCATTCTGACAAGAAAATATTGAGGTATTAGAGTTTAAGATTGTTTTCCCTTTACTAGTAGGGGCTTTCAATTTCCAATAAGGTATTAGAAATGAATTTAAAACGATAAAATATTTCATCTTTTAACCTACCATTAATTTAACCCAGTGTTATAGTTTGAAGACCAACAAAGTAAAGTATGTGCCCCAATGATGGAAAAAGAAGAAGAATAAAGAGCTATAGAATGATTTTGAAGGGTTGTAATTCTTGTGACACTTTGACAGTGGTTTGAGATTAGTCCTTTCTTTCTTCTTTTTTTCTGTTCATTTTTTTGTACCCTTGATTTCCATCATTTGCAATGGAGCCAAAGACTCACTATTTTTTTTTGGCTTGGGAATATGATAGAATAAGGCAAAATGCCTCACTAAACTGTCTGCGCTTCTTTGTTATGAAACAGCAGGCAGTCCATGCAATTCTCGACGCAATTCTCACTATGGGTCATCTGGAAACAATCTCTCCTCTGTGCTTTAGTACAAGGGTAAGACTGCGTACATCTGACCCCCCCCACCCCACCGTAGGTGGGAGCCTTTGCGGCACTGGGGTAATGATGAAGATGAAGAAGATTTTTTTGTACCCTTGAATGCTCAATAAATTTTGTATGGTGTCAAAATTATTTTATTCTTATGAATTAGCATTGATCTTTATACACACTAGAATGAAGAATCACATGTTAGGATGTCTAAGTTTGAAATGAGTGATAGTGATTAGTAATTAGTATATCCCAAAAACTATTGCATTGGTCCAACATACATGAATCTTTGGCACGTGATCTCTATTGCATTGGTCCAACTTACATGATAATTGAATGCTTGATGGTGAAAATTCAATCTTACTATAGTTAAAAAAAGTTGTATGAAAAGATGCTCCTTAAATTGAAAATAGAAATGAATGAGTTGTGATCTGACTTCTATGTTGGCGAGGAAGCAAATGCTGATGTTTGTGTACTGCTATGAATTCGTCTTGAAATATAGCTAACTAATTACCAAAAGAAGAATCATAAACAAGTCTAACAATGATAAAATTGTTTACAGGAAAGAGTTTTTGCATAAAGTTAGTCAGTATATTCTATAAATGAAGTTAATTCTAAAATACAGATAACATGATTATTTATTGGTGATAAGCATTAGTACTCTCCCATGTTTTTATCCACATATCATGTATATTACACTACTAATGTTTGCTAATTTGTATGTTAAATATGTTTGTGTGCATGCTTAACGGGGAGCCATTATCAGATGCAGAGCAATACAAGAGACTCATTGGAAAGCTAAATTATCTAACCACCACACGATCTAATCTATCTTTTGTGGTCAGTGTACTGAGTAAGTTTATAGTTTTTTTAATTTTATAAGAATATCCCGACTTTTCCATCATTTGCAATGGAGCCAAAGATTCATTATTTTTTAGTTTGAGAATATGATGGAATAAAGCAAAACGGCTCACTAAACTGTCTGCACTTTTTTCTTATGAAGCAGCAGTCAGTTCATGCAATTTTGGACGCGATTTTCACTATGGGTCATCCGGAAACCGTCTCTCTGTGCTTCAGTACAGGGGTAAGACTGCGTACATCCGACCCCCCCCTTACACCACCGTAGGTGGGAGCCTTTGCGGCACTGGAGTAAATGAAAATGAAAATGAAATGATCCTGACTAAGTAAGTTTCTAGTATCTACACGAAACTACAATTTTTATGATCTGATGATCATATTTAAATCTTATGATGCATCAAGAAGGCACCGAGGCAAACAAGCAATGATTACTTGATGAAGATCATGGATATATGTATACTGATTGGGCAGTTTGTCCATATGACAGGTGATCCACCTCTAAATTTTGTGTGGTTGTAAATGGTAATCTAATATTGTGGACGAGTAAGAAGCATTGCATGGCTGCAATGTATGGTGCGAAGCAGTGAACACAAGTCATATTGGTGAACCATTGAAGCATTTACTTCAAGAATTGTTATATGGTAATATGGCGCAAATGATACTTATATTATTATATATGATAACCAAGCTGCAATACATCATCTCAAATTTAGCATATCACAATAGGACTAACCATATACAAGTTGATTTTCAGTTCATTAGGGGAAAGTTCATTGTTTCAAGAGTCGTTAATTGTGCTGATCAATTAATAGATATGTCTGTAAATTTGGTGAATATGATTTTATGCTCCATTTCGCCATTTCGGGGGGGGGGGGGGGGGGGGGGGGTTAAGATGTATTAGACTTACCCTAAGCGGGGAGCTTTGGGAACTTTTATTTTATATCAATGAAATCTGTTTTCCTCTCATTACTTGCAGGATTCTAAAGTCTTCTTTTATGAACTAGTTCGCTGTATTTCAAAATCAATTCTTGTAATTCATAAAGAATGAATTGATATCAATAAATATGGTTTCCACGCTCTTCTTTTTTGAACTAATTAGTCTATGTTGACGCGTTGTATATGTTGGGTTATACAAAGGGAGCTTTTATAAATTCTTTTATATCAACAAAATATGGTTCCCTCTTATATTCTACAGGTTTCCAAAGTGTTCTTTGATGGACTAGTTCTCTATACTTTAAAATCAATTCAGCACAATTTAACATCACCCTTTTAAACTCTTCTTACTCAACCTTCAACAAACTTACAATTCATCCTTTTCTATTCTCTTTAAGATGAATCTTTTTAAGTACCATTTACTCAATAAACTTGTGAATTGTGATAATATCATTTCTTAACTATGTTGGTTATTTGGTTGAGTACTCCGGCTACTCGCTCAATACTAGCTACTTGGTTCTAAGATTGTCGAGTAG